AACCCTTACTGCAAAGACGGTGACTTCGTTTTATAGTAAAATGGAGCAGGTTACACACAATAAATTATGAAGCAACTTCCCTAACTTGCCAGTCAGTAGCCTATAGATAACAAGCGTTTGACCATCATTTTGACCATGTCCAAAATGTCATTCTTGGTATACGTTTGACTATCTTCGCTTTTAGTATAACAATCAAGGCCTTTAAAATACCAATGGGCTATAAATGTTGGCTTGATCTAGCGCCAAAACCAAGGTTCAGCTGCCTAGGTACCTTGTACATCTTCTTGACGATCTACTGACATTGTCACTTTATTACTGCTGCCGGGGGTCGACACGTTCACCGCCCATAGCAGCCAATCAGATGTCAGGTCGACAAGATTTTCCTTGCCACTACCAAGCGGAGTCATATTCAATAGTGTCGTGGTAAAAACTACGCTCGGACATGAAAGGGCAGAGTGGGGGGGGGGGGGGGGGGGGCGGAGCTGACGCCCCATGAGACTTGGTGACACCTCGGAACGGTGCATGCGAACAATAATTTTCCACAACAGCTGTCTGGCGCCACCAGGAATGCGACGGGCCAACATCGTCGCAGCGACTCGTGAGCTGCACCACGCGCGCTGCGACCGGCCCTCGGCCTCACGCTGGCCTGCATCTGGGCCTGCGGACAGCGCTGGCCAAATGAGCCAGGTGACATGTACCGGCCAGCTGATTTCCCCGTCAGCTGACACTAGAGCGTCGGTGCGTGTCGTGGAGACTCCCTGGATGACGGGGAGATGCCCCGAATGCAGATGCGGCCAAGTCGCGGCTATCCTGGCGTCATCTGCAGCTCTTTCGGTGGAGAGATTAGCCCAGATCGGGAGGTTCTGCGATCTCACCAAGCATGTTCTACCTTGAGGGGCAGCACCTGGATAACGCTTCCTAACAGTGCCTGATCTCCATACTGTCATGCAATATGCCTGCACAGCAGTTCTGCTCCATCCTTCCTCCCGCCCGTTCTTGCATATTTTCGCACGCTTCTCAGCCGTGACTCATGAGTCACGCGGCCACCTCGTGATGTCTCAGCGCGCGCGCGTCACCCCGAGTCGCTGCACGCCAGGTTGCATCAGGGTCGGCTCCAGTGCCAGCCGCATGTCGAATGCAGCCCAGCCTTGACAGCGGCCCTGGCTGCCGCTTCAGAGTTCCGCTTCGGCAAGGGCAAGGCCAACTGCAATACGGCGGGACCCTGTGGGGAAGTCTTGGCGGCCAATGGGTACGGCCGGGCTAACCGCAGCATTGCTAGGCTTCTTGCCGCTTTCCCGAATCCCATCTCTTTAACGTCTCAGGAATGTCCGGAAGGAGCCGTGAGAGAGTTATCGAGCCAGACAAAATTATAGGTCAAGGCTATCTATTTTGAAACACGGAAGACCTCCCTTTGCGGCTCAGTCTCATGGAGCGGTTCGCGAAAATGAAGTCTAGGTGTGGGGGAGGGGGGGGGGAGGACCCTTAACCTATGAGGCGACGAAGACATTAATGCAATGTACGTGTGTATACTATTATCATGTTCAGCGTCTGCGACATGTTCTACATGGTTACTCGTATGTGGTTCAGTTCATGTTACTTGCAGCCACGAACGTACGCAAGAATCCGCGATGGAGGTGGCACAACTAAAAAAAAATTCACGGAAAACTCAGATTAAACAGGCACGCGAAATTTCTTGCACGGCGTAAAACAACATCGTGTGCTCTCAATTAATTTCAGTTCACTTATCTACCTCGGGCTTAAAACTGTCACTATGTATTTACACAGCTATTAAGCATGCCGTAAAATATTTTTGTTATCTTTAAAGAGGGGCATGTGCCCCTTTAAGCCACTAGGTACGTACGCTCGTGTTTCCAGCTACTTAACTGCGCACTCATGCTGGGTTCTCAAATCATGACATGCCCATTTGTAACGAACCGCAAAACAGTGAACCATTCCACATTAAGTCCTAGGTCGTCTTATAAGCAGTCTCGGAAAGACCGGGAGTCTGTGCTGTCAGGCGAGACGTAGCGCGGCGGGATTCTGCGAATATCAATATTCGAGTGACCTTTTCTCGGATTTGTGAAGAACTTTATCAAGTATTATTATCTTTATAGAAATATGTCAAATATGTGGCCTTTGCTAATACAGAGCTTGCTGTTAAGTCAGAGATTTAACTATCTTAGGAGAGTAATTTCAGTTCAATAGGTATTTTCACTCAATGATTTCAACGGGCAGCCAAAGCTACTGCACAGTCGTCTTTGTCCCAGCCCGGCTCTGTTAGCCAGCTGCCAGTTGGTCTGATCATCATTATGCGACGTCATGATCGCCACTCTTCGATCGCCATGACTTCGTCGGGGCGTGAATGTTTCTGAACCTTAGAAAGTTTGCAAACTTACATGCTACTGAAATGCCAATAACCAGTGACGTAATCAAGGAAGGGGCACACTTTCCGATAGAAAATACTGTACGTGCTTTCATAGGCACTTGAATAAATGCTGTCGTAAATAATACAGATTAGCCTGTAAAACCAAGTAGATCAAAAACGAACGAAGCTGTGCGCCACCCGTGAAAATTATCCCCCCTCCCCCCCAACCGAGCAGACTTTAGAAGTTTTGCGCGGTTTTGTTGCAAACAAAACATGTCCCACCCCCAAATACGTCGACGAACGTGTCCCCCTGGACTTGGCGTAATTCATTCCCAAAGTGTGCCTGTGTGTGTATGTGAGGGGGGGGGGGGAGAGCTGGAGCTCCCAGCTATACAGGAAATTACACCCTGCCTGCTCCAAGGGTTATCAATTGCTATACTCCCTTTAAGATCTCATCACTGGTTTGCCCTGACACTTACAAACGGTCAAAATACGGGTAAAGGAAGTGAGATGGGAAGCACAACGAAAGGTGAAACACACTGGACGTCACGTGCTGATCCTGGCCTGATGCCTGCCTGATGAATAGCCGCTTGAGTGTGGAGCACAAGCGACGGATGTTATGGCTATCTTCAACTGAATAGTGGGCGCTGCTATCTGTCTGTCTGCGATGTTTGAGGTCAATGATTTGCTTTGTGTTGCATCCTACAACTGATCCCATAACGACTCGCCAGACATAAAAGACAATTTGGTATACCGAGCGGCAGCGAGACCAAAATGGCTGTCATCTTGTACGTCTCGTTTGGATGGGACCGCTCCGTCGTTTCTTCTCGTGACGAGCCGTTATAACGCTCCTTGATGGCGTCTTGGCAAGTACTGAACCCTTTCGTTGACTCTCTCTCCCTCGCTTCCCCTCTTTCCTTCTCTCTCTCTCCCTCGCTTCCCCTCTTTCCTTCTCTCTCTCTCCCTCGCTTCCCCTCTTTCCTTCTCTCTCTCTCCCTCTCTCTCTATTCGTCTCGTCTCTCTCTCTCTCTCATCTCCTCTCGTCTCTCTCTCTCTCTCTCTCTCTCTCTCGCTCCCTCTCTCTCTCCGCTCTCTCTCTCTCTCTCTCTCTCTCTCTCT